TAACAAGTAACCCAAACCCTATCCCAACCTTAACCCTTACTACCATGGAATCTCATGTTATATATATATATAAAAAATTAAGGACAAGAAGTTATAGTTCTGTATTTTGAGGTTATTTTTATGGTCTATTCACACTTTGAGCTATGAGACTTTTGTGAGCATTAAGCCATTTTAGAATGTTGATACCTTAACAAAAACATACTCAGATGTGTTATGTTGTGTTTCTTTCATGCACGTTTGAGTAATCCTGCATTATTAGTCGGTCTACGTCTCCAAAGATCAAAATACTCTGCTCCACCTTGGAATATCACAAAGATGTAGTTTTCAAATTAGCATCAACCTTTTACCTTTTATTCAGAAGAGATTGGCAATTCCAGGGCTGAAATTATCCAAATGATTCTAGTGCAAGTGGAGTTTAAAACACAGTGGAGCACTTCCTGTATTGACATGACAAGGTGGAACAGAGTGTTGTCTGTTTGAGAGAAGCCAAAATATGCAGGATTTGTAAACATGTGTGACTGAAACAAAACACAACTCCAGGTATGTTTTTTTATGAGGAAATAACATAACATAGCTCTTAAATAACCACAACAAAGGCATTTATAGGCACATTTTGTACCTTTCCAATAACAAATATTGCTTAATGATTGGGTTGATTATGAAAAAGTTCCATATTCTACATACAAAAGTGTGTAATCACGTCACCCATCAGTTGGCCATAATTCCACAGTAAACACGTACCATTACCATTATAGTACTGACACCATAATATTATACATTATAAAGTGAAAGGCCATTAGGAAAACCTCTAATTAGGGGAAATGAATGACGTAACAGAGCACCGTTTCACACCTCAAATATGTGTTTATATTTCACAATATTCCAGGTAATGATCCCAGAGTCGTCACATTTAAATGTTCTGTCACATGTGGGAATACAGCTGTTATTGCTGCTACATCACATGGAAATGTACTGTAACACATTCAACATGGTGATTTATATGAACAAGGACCAAGCCTGGAATAGAATAGTGAGAAATCTATAACTGGATCAATGTGGTCGATACAGATGTACCTCCAAATGTAGTATTGCTCATTTTGGTCACAATATACATATCAGACAGAGAACTATGCTAGTAGTAGTTATATCAGATAGTAGCAGTAGAAGTACTAGCAGCTGAAGTAGTAGCAGTAGTTGTTGTGGTAGTGGTATCAGTAATTGGTTAATCTGCGTTTCTTATTGACCAATGGCTAGCTCATAGTTTCATTTTCTTTCTGTTGGTTAAATCAACAATTTTGTCAAGTCTTGCAAGGCGAACACAATTGGGATTTTGAGCTCTACATAAATACATTAAATTGGTATCAGTAGTAACAATAGCCGCAGAACAGTGGCAGAAGCAGAAATTGGAAGCTGTAATAGGAGACGTTAGGCCTGTCATAACACATTTTGAAGTATGATGTATTGCTGAAGAAAATATAATATTGAAAAATATTCTAAAAAAAAAATCGTGAGCTGCAATAAAGTGTTATTTTTTCAACCTTTTACAGCTTAAATTTGATCATATAGCCAAAAAATAACTATCAATTTCCCAGTAGTGCAAAGAAAATGTACACACGACAAATATTGATCCCAAAAATATTGTTCCATCCATCATATTCTTAACGATAAGTCAATATAGTAATTATCATGGCCCAGTAGTGAAAATAGTACTGTGGTATTAGGTCTATCAGTAGTAGAAGTGATAGAAAAGAAGTGACATTGATAGTAGCGTAGCATTAGTAGTGTGGCAGTAGAAGTAGCAGGAGCAGCATTATACACATTTGCATGAGTTTAAAAATAACGTTTGTATTTATTGCCATGTCACTGGGTGTACAGTCTTTTATCCTCCATGAAAACATCTAGTGACAGCAACAACAAGACAGTTTGCCTTGACAAGTTTTAATTAACAAAGTGTGAAAAAGGCATCTTCTTGTTTAGACTCAGAGGTTGCTCGCCTTCATTTCTCTACATTCTCTCGAGTGGTCTCTATGCAAACACAGCCAGCTGATCAAAGCTCTTCTTTGTGCAACAGTCACACAGACACGGTGAGGATGAAACACACAAATCTAAAAAGCCCTGAGTATACAACTAAATCACTTGTCAATCAATGCCCAGGGGTTGTCGTCTTGTTGCCATAGGAACAGGTACAATTATTTCACCATTAAATCCACTCAACCCCAAAATGCCTGCGTTTTAGTGTCCCTCATCTGTTTGTTAGTAAACTCATTAATCGTGTTAATTATGTTTTGGATCAGTCCGTCAATGCGTCGCTTCGGACAACACGGTGGAAAACAGGGAGACACACAAAATACCACTAAAGACTGTCAGTAGCATAAATAGGCCATAATAACTACTTGTCAATTATGAGTGTCACGTGTGTAATCTTTCACAAGCAAAATGTTTAAAATTATGTTTAATTACTACTGACTAAAGGTCTTTCTCTTTTCTTGCATATCTCTGCTTTTCACAATAAGACCAATACATTCATAAATCAATTTAGGATTAATACTTCTGATCGGTTAATCAGTGGATACATTTACATGGCCAGTAAAAATCAAACAGAAGAATCAGATCATTATCACTAATACCCAATAATTAGATCTGATTTTCGAGGTGTGTTTACATACACAAAACAAATCTTTAAATGGGCCCATATTATGCTATTTTTTGATCTATGTTAAAATGTTTCCTCATCAAACGCATACCTGGAGTTTTGTTTTGTTTCATTCCCACAGGTTTAACACACAAACTCTGCAAATTTAGGATAAGTTCATCTCTCAAACAGAAAACACACTGTTCCACGTTGTGATGTCATGTGTAATACATGAAGTGCTCCACTGTGTTTTTAAACTCCATACTCCTTCACTAGAATCATTTTGATAATTTAAGCCCTGGAACTGCCAATCTCTACTGAAGGTAAAAGGGAACTGCTTCATAACATCACAAGGTGGAACTGAGCATTTTGAGCTTTGGAGATGTAGACAGACTAATAATAAAGATTACTCAAACGTGTGAATGAAACAAAACACAACTCCAGGTCTGTTTTTGACAGCACAGCATTAGAACATGGCTTAAAGCTTTGTGTCTCATTTAAGACCTTTAACATTTCCTCTTGTATTTCTGTCTTCACCACAGCACTCGACCCTTTTTTGCATAATTTCCCTAGTCAAAACCTACACAGGTGTGAACAAGCAAAGAAATGAGATTAGTCCGACCAGATGTTACTGTTTACGTGACAGTTCAATAATCGGATAACTCCAGAAATCAGGTTATTTTTCACCTATATCACGTATATGAGTGAGCAGATTGTAATATCTGATGTGTTTATGTGTTTGTTTATGTGTTATGTTCCAGAGCATGGTATTAAACTTATCTCCAAAAATACAAATATGTGACACGACCAGGCCAAGTTACAGGTCTGATCTGTGGAGAGGGAGCCCACTCATCGTACAGATAAACGTTCAGTAAGACCTGCAATTGAATAAATGTAATAAACTGATTATTTAAATGCCATACTGTGGAACACTCTGAGCAAAACTCCAGCATCTTCATGAGGCAAGTAAGTGGCAGGCTCTCCACTAAGAAAGTTACACATTGCACCCTTATGTCTTGCAGCAGTAGGTAGACAGTGGCTCTCTAGATGCTATTTTTATCTATTTTTATTCTCCTCTGCTACAGTCTCCCCTCCTTCATTCCCCAACTCATGACCTCATCATTCAGCGCCTCTCTTCAGTGATCCCACCTGCTCGTGTCTGCCCCACAGTCTGCGGTGTTACCACTCAGCCCTCTCTCCCTCGGTAGGAGACAGTTTCTATTTTGTTAAAGTTACACCAGCTATTCAAATCCAGGGCCCTTTTTTAACCGCAGTATTTTCATCATCTAAGCAGTAATCGTTTAAAAAAGCTGAAATATGTCATCAAAATGTAATAAGTGGTGCTATATGCAAACAAACTCAATTCGTGAGTGTCAGATTCTCAGATGCTGGAGGAGGTACAGTAGATATTTCACTGCTTATTGAATGTGTCTATGTAAAACTATCAATAATAAATGCACTCTGAAAACTCAGTTTTCAAGCATCATTTACAGTGATCTAAATATGAATACATTTTGTTCTCTGCTGTTTAAAGTGAGCGAGCCTGGCTAGCTTTCTCGAGATCAGAACCATGTTGCTACTAAGGAGTACCTAACTGGAGGATTATTTATTGTGCATGTGTCTGTCAGATCAAAAAGAACAAGAAAACACCATATTTACAAAGAAAAAACATCCAATTCGACACTGGTAATAATGATAATGGTGCAGATACTGATAAAATTGCTGGATCAGATATCGGGTTCCAAATATCGGTTCAGTCGCTATCCCAGTTTGGTATATAAATTCATGTAATAAAACTATTTACTGGTCTCAGAACGTTTGAATTATTATTTTTTATTTATACAAAGTTGTTCTGTAATTACTTCAGAAAAAGAGAGATAAATAACAGCTGCATATAAACACATTTGGATCAGTTTCGTCTATTTTATTTTTATATAAAGAAAATAAAGGCTGTTTTCAGTCCTTGCACTGATATGGATTGATATCGGTAATTGGCTATAGTATCGAAATCAATATTGGAACTGAAAAAGCTGGATTGTGCATCCCTAATCAAAAACTATGCAGTGTTTGATGCTCTAAATGTAATTTTGTTTTTTGTTTTTCTCTGACAATGGCAAAATATTGAACCTTGACTCATATAAAAGCCTTGTAAAAACAGGTAAAAATCTGGAATTGGAGGTGAACACGATAACCACCCTGCTACCAAGTCTCAAAAACTGCGACCATTTCCTTACAAACAGGAGGTTAGGTCGGATACCGCTTGAACTCCTCCAGAATGGGCAATCGTAAAGTGCACTTTCCACAAAACGGATCCCACTTTTATCAGAAAGCGGCGAATATAAAAAAAAACATTGATAACAACACTTACTCTGTGATTTCTTCAGTGACCGTGTGCTCCACCTGCAGCCTGGAGTTCACCTCGATGAAGTAGTGATTGTCATGTTTGTCCACCAAAACTCCACAGTGCCAGCATTCTCATAACCCACCTGCAAATGCACAGAAATAGAGTTAGAGTGCTATATTAAGCTCTGTTCAAGTGAAAGTAAGTTCATGAGACTCAAATTCCTGTTCTAGGTACCATTTTGATGACTTCAGAGGATGCATGTGTGTGATATTTTGATATTTGATTCTCTAGGTTTGTTCCTATTCAAATAAATAATGAATACATTAATAAATAAACATCCATGGGGTTCAGAATGATGAAAGGTTAAGACCGTTGACATACCAATTAACTATTCAAAACCAAATATTATAGTTTTGGAATGTTCCTCAAAATGGCATCATATAACATTTATCTTAAGCCCATGAATAGATTTTTACGTGTGTAAAATGCCATGGCAACTGTCCCATTTTTTCATCACTAACTCGAGAACTGCTTAACACTGAGGTGGAGAGTAGCCAATTTGGAAGTCAAAGTTATAATAAGCATTTTTAGTACGTTTTGACATGGTTTACGATTATTATCACAGGGTATCATAGGTTTCAAAATTATATAACTGCCATAGCAATTATCAATTTAAAACAAAGTACTATAGGCCTGACTTTTGAATGGGAAAAGTTCTCAAAGGCTATGTTCAGACTGCAGCCTGAAGTGACCCAAATCTGATTTTTCACCCCTATGTGACCTGTATCTGATTTTTTAATGACAGTCTGAACGAACACAGATCGGATTTTTTCAAATGCGACCCAGACCACTTGGATATGTGCTCCTAAAACTGACACATATCTATATATTTTGACATGCGACTTCAGTCTGAACAGCCAGGTCACATTCATCCCACCTACACGTCAGGCTCAGAGTCTAGTCAATGGCGGGAAAGCGAGGTTAGCGAGTGCATTCATATTTGGGATGATCCCTGTTTTCAGGCCAAATCAGAGAGGTCTTAAAGGGAACCAAGCAGTTTTTGAAATGACGGCTACAGGCGGTCATGGCTTCAATGTCAACGAAAAATAAAGAGCCTGTGAGCCAAATACAAGGAGGCTAAACACTCAAACAAACGAAGCGGCCGTGGACGTGTAACCTCTTCATTTTACGAAAGAACTGGACCGTATTTTGAGAGACAAACTCAGCATTTAGGCTACTTCTGTAAACACCAAGCATGTGGGACACTTTTGGGGCATTTAAAGTTCACATTGGAGATCACATAAAAGTCATATTTAATTGGAAATGTGAACAACCTCACGAAAAAATCTAATTTCACAAATTAAATCCGAATTGAGCATTAAGCCCTGCAGTCTGAACGTAGCCAAAATATTGCAGAAAACTTAAAACCCATAAATATGCAGATTAAACAAAAAAATGCACTTTAATATATCCATTCACCAAAAGTTATTTTTTCTCACCATTAAAAAGTAAAGTATTAAAAAAACTAAGATTTTTTAATCCAAACAGCATACTTGTTGTTAGTTGTTACTCATAAGATTAATATGGCAAACTTGTGAACCCAAGCCAAACAAAAATGGTCTTATTTGTGGTCTTCAGTTTGGAGTTTGGAGCAATATTGTTACTCCACCTTGCAGCCTCCATGTGTACTTATGATATCAAATTCACCAACCTCAGCAACACAACATATCTAATAGTGTTGATTACTCATTCTAAACTGAAATCTTACACTTCTCATTTTCTATTCAAGCAGTCACGTAAGCTCTTAATGCAGATATAATTACACAGAGGAATAGCCTTCAGGATTTAAAGGGCCTTTTTATCAGTTTCTTGTAATGCAATAATGAGACCATTAATCAAAAACCCACCATTAAAAACTTGTCACTATAAAGCGCTTTTTCAGCAGTGTCTTTCTGGCCAGCCATCACCATGACAACTGGAGTCCTTCAGAGATACTATACAATGAATGCAGGGCTTTATATTAATGTTATATCAATATTTAATTAATTTTGACATTTTACAGGAATAGTGGATACGAAAAAGGAAAAAGAACAGAGTGGATGAGATGGGCTACATTCGCTCTATTCACGCATATGTCACAAACTAGGAAGACATTTGGAAACAGTCGATGACAAATTCCGGCGGGCTCTGTTCGTGGAAAAAAGAGAAAATGCCCTAATCAACAATTACAACCATACCTTAGTTTTTATCATTTCCCCACTGACACACAACTCCGAGTGTACTGGTTCCATGAGATTAGAAGAGATGAGGGCGCCAAATTCATGATTATTCCAAACAGCACATACGTATGCAGTCTTCATGACATTTACTTCAAGTGGGTTTTATCAGTCGGTCGGTGAGCCCAGTGTCTAACTACACCGGAAGTTGTCATTGCATGTTTCCAAACATCTTCCTGGTTTGTGACGTAAGCGTGAATAGAGCCTATTGCCACTTAGGGGTGTTCAACATGTATCTCTACTGGCGGAATGTCCAACACTTCCCATGGTGACACAACGAATATATTACCAAAAACTGCCAAAAATGTTAAAATATAGTCTGAAAACTCAAGAAAAAAGTGGAACAAAGATTTATAAAGCATATTTTCAGGAGCCTGTGATGAGCTTATCTCCAGAGTTGGATAAGTTGGATTTTGTACTTTGGAGCATACCAGGGCAAAGCAAAAACATCTCCTTGGAGACAGCAGGTGACAAACCTTCCACCAGAAAAGTTACATAGTGCCCAGGATTTGAACCAACAACCTGCTAGTTACTACACACTGAAATTGTTTCCTGCTACACAGCTACTACTACAACTTAAAATAGGGTCAAACCCTTCCCTCTCAACTAAGACTTTGTGATAAATTAAACAAATCTTCATTACTGGATAAGATGTGTTTTTGCTCAGTCCTCAAAAATACAATGCCCATTAATTATTTTCAACCAATAAAATACAGAGTGTTTATAGAGTTAAATATAGACTGTTTAATACAACATGAAAGGCGAGTGTTACTGTTTAGAGGAAATGTATTCTCCCCGGTATAATCATTGCTACATCAAGATTCTTACCTCCAACGTAAAGCCAATAGTGCAATCTGGTAATGCATCCTCTGTTTCTCATAAATCTATATGGTGTACCAATAGAGGTAAACATGAGCACAAATCTAAACACTCAAACTCCCAAACATGGTCTATAACCTCAAAGCCAATGCAAAAAATAAGGCAGAAGGTTGAAACAAGTTGGTGTGATTTGAACTTTATCTCCCATGTGGGATTAAAGGCTTTCAATAATTTTTTTTAACTTTTTGAGTGCCTCAGCTTTTTCAACATTTGTATTTGAGACTGTATCCAAGTAGCACTCCTGCCCCCTCAAGTTTTGCATGGCTTATAACCTATAGTCTAAATCCCTATTTGCACAGGATTAATTTACTTTATCTAGGGTCCCCTGGTAAATTGTGATAATTACATTTTAGGTACAAATATGAGCTAAATCAGCAATTTATTTCCACAGACAAGATGTGACCTGAAAAGTACGTAGAAACTCATTGTCGAGGCAACCAAGAACCAGCAGTTATGGAAAAGTAAAAAAGACTGCGGCTGTTTCATGAGAAATGTGGATGCCATTCTAATTGGTGATTGCATCAGTATCACTATGTTTCTTACACTGTGTTAGACGCTACAGTGCATGGTCCATTCTGCTAAAAACAAACTTAAAGAGCACATATTATGCTATTTTGGATCTACGTTGTAATCTTGTTAGCGTCTCAAAAACATACCTGGAGTTGTGTTTTGTTCCACTCTGTGAAGTCATATGTTAATACAGGAAGCGCTCCACTGTGTTTTTAAATTCCATACACAACTACTAGAATCATTGGAGAATTTCAGCCCTGGAATTGCCAAGCTCTACTGAACTAAAGGTGTAGCTGTTAACTTGAAAAGTACTGCTTCATGACATCACAAGGTGTAGAGGGACTAACAATAAAAAATTACTCAAACATATGTAAATGAAACCAAACAGGAAGTAACAATATTCTGTAAGTCCAGTAATTTTGTGCAATATAGGATCTTTAAAATAAAAGCAAGATTGATGAGTTAAAAGGTTCTTTTCTTTCAATGTGTATATCAGTCCACTATTTCTAAAAATAAAGGTAGTAAAAACAGGTAGTTTACTGACATTGCTTATTTCGTGCAAAAGTACACAAAAAAAAAAAACATCATGGGGTAATTTCAATTTTACAGACATCTCTCGGTAAAACTAATCCTGTGTGAATTGGGCTTAATAGTGCAGAGAAAGAAGAAGTAGTGAAATGAATTACATGCAAAGTTTACGCAAAAAAAAAAATTGTTGATTATGGCAATGAGTTCTGATTGGTGCCCAAATACGCTCCCCCGATTTATCCAATCACGCGGCTTCCTTTTTGTTTCCCAGATCATCACTGATTATTGTTTTAATCAAGCCTCGGCTGCCACATTACAAACTGCGTCCCCAAATGAACAAAATACTGGAAGAGGAAAAAGCAAAACAAAATTAGAGACATTGGCAAATAACTTCAACAAAATTGCTCACTTCATTTCGCAAGTCACAGGTGTAAAAAAGGACAGAAAAACACCAGGTTTGAGAATTAGAGGTTATTGATTCAAAACTTAGACAAGAAAAAGGAATTAAAAAACAGAATACATTTACCTTGGTGTATTGCATATTGCTTAAACTGAAGTTTAACATTTGATCAGTGCAAATAAAATTAAAACTAAATTCACTAAATGAAGTAGCAATTCCAGGTGTTAGTCTGTACAACAAATTCTCAAACAAGTACAACCTCGTTCCTTGTTCTGAAAACAAATTTTAAATCTTGTTGAGACATTACAAACTATTTCTAATTAAGTTCTATTACTAAGGAGAAATCGTGATCTTTGATACAGATAGTAGGGATGTAACAATAACTCAAATATTGTGATACTGTATCGCCAAAGTTCTCACAATATTCTAGTGGACCATCACAACATATCAAATTATATGCTTCTTTGCTTAAATGCATTGTTTTACTGCAGCAACAGCTAAAGGAAAGGAAACTACAATAGACAGACTTTTGTTCCATTTCACTGCAGA